TCCCGGCCCCGCGCTGTCACCGACCCCCCCTCCTCTGCCCCCGCCGCGGCGGGTCCTGCCCGTCCCGTGGGACCGGCACGGGGCCGGTGTAAGCGGCTTAGCGGGGACACGGGGACGTCCCCGCCGCCCCCGGGCTCTGCGGCGGCCCCCCCCGCGGGGGCCCCATCACCTTTGAGGGGGTCCCCGTCACTCTTGGGGGTGTCCCCGTCACCTCGGGGGTGTTCCCGTCACCGTGGGGGGGGGGGTACCCATCACCTCGGCAGAGTCCCTGTCACCCTGGGGGTCCCATCACTCTGGGGGGGGTCCCCATTATCCCGTGGGGTTCTCCATCACCCCGGGGGGGTCCCTGTCACCCTGGGGGTTCCCCATCACCCCGCGGGGTTCCCCATCACCCTGGGGGCTCCCCATCGTCCTGAGGGGTTTCCCCAGCACCCCCGGGGGGGGTCCCCCCCGCCCTGACCCCACACCCCTGTGTCCGCAGGCTCCGGAGCCGGTGCGGCCGCGCTGCCCCTCGCCCCTGCGGCCGCCACCCGGCCCCGAGCGCACCTCGGAGCGGGAGACGCAGACGGCTGAGCTGTCCCTGACCGTGGTGGCGGCCGTGCAGGCCGTGGAGAGGAAGGTGGACTCCCACTCCACCCGCCTGCTCGACCTGGAGGGTCGCACGGGGATGGCCGAGAAGAAGCTGATCGACTGCGAGAAGACGGCGGCGGAGCTGGGGAACCAGCTGGAGAGCAAGTGTGCGGCGCTGGGCACCCTCATCCAGGAGTACGGGCTGCTCCAGAGGCGCCTGGAGAACATGGAGAACCTGCTCAAGAACAGGAACTTCTGGATCCTGCGGCTGCCCCCGGGCAGGAAGGGGGAAGTCCCCAAGGTAACGGTGTCCTGGGGTGCGGGGTCTGCGCCCGAAATGCTCACAGAGGGCAGGACCGAGGGGGGTGAGCGGGGATGGCCCCGGCACAGGTGAGTTGCTCCCCGTTGGAGCTGCTCCTTCCCAGCTCATCCCCCTCTGGGACTAAAGTACAGTGGGATGTAGGACCCAGGGCGACATCCCGGTGCTCGGGCTGGAGGTTTCAGTTCTGCACAGCCCAGGAGCCATTTATGCTTTTTTTGTTTGTTTTTTTTATACCACCGTTTGAACAAAACCACCCCAGATTTAGTGGTTCTTTCTCTTTGACTACTTTGACGCTGCAAAGTCTCCCAGCCTGGGGAAGGAGAAAGCTCTGGGATTTGGGGAAGACAGATGAGTTCCCTGGGATTAGCCGAGCTCTGGAAGGAGCCCACCATCAATATTCAGTTCCTACTTGAATTTCATGACCTTCCCACTGAAAGAAAGTCTGCAGATGGGACCACAGGAAAGGGATTGTCACTGGAGAGAGTGGAGAGGGCTGGGAAAAGGGGGGCTCGGACCCTGCACCCCATTAGTGCAGTCGGGGAGCAGAGGTGAAGCACCACATTTCCCTCTGAAGAGGTGCATTCCCACACAGCACAGTTTGCACGTCCTGGATTTATCCTTAGGAATTATTCCTTGGCAAACAGGCTGGGAATCCATGGCCTGCTCCTGGCCGGTGGGCACACAGTAACCAAGGATAACAGGGAGCCCTGCAGGCCTGGGTAGAGCTTTCCCTGGAGTTCAGGGGTAATTGAATCCGGGCGTTACATCAGCTCATCCATAGGGATGAGTCCAGCCCAGCACCCAGGTTTTCTGTCCTTTGTGGTCCCTCCAAGCCTGGTCACTCTGCAGAGTGCAGGGACCGAGAGGAGGAGCTTGGGGTCCTTTGGGAAGTACCAGTCTGGATTCATCACTGGGAGCCACCCGTTTGGCTGAGGCCTTTAATGCCACAGAAATACCTGCCCAGGAGTGGCATAAATGTAAGAACCAACTGGTTGATGGCCGTGAAGGAGCTGAAGCCTGGCTGTGCCCGAGGGGGAGCTGCTGTCTCCGGGCTCCTGGGGAGGGAGGCAGCCCTTGAACCGGTGCTCTTGTGATCCAGGTGCCGGTGACATTCGACGACGTGTCCGTCTACTTCAACGACAAGGAATGGGAGAAGCTGGAGGAGTGGCAGAAGGAGCTGTACAAGAACGTGATGAAGGGGAACTACGAGTCGCTGATCTCCCTGGGTAGATATGGGGGCACGTTCTCTGGGGCTCCTTCTGGCTCCTCCTTGGAGATCCCCTTGGATGAGACCCAAATGTCCCATTTTAAAGACTTAAAAGCACAGGAGGATGTTTCCAGTTTGGGTTCATTCCCAGCTCATACCGTGGTGCTGTCCTGGCTGAGGGGGGTCTCCACAGGCAGGTGGGCTGGAGACCTCCCAAAATTCTTCTAGCTGGAGTTATGTGATGAAAAACCAGCTGTTGGAAGGGCTTCCCTGCATCTTGTGGGTCTGCAGCGGGTACCAGCCCACGCACCCCCTTAGAGGGAACTTTTGCAGAGGGAAAAACTGTCTGATGTGATCTGTGCTTTGGGGCATTTCCTGCAGAGCTTCAGGAGAAATCCCAGCTCTGCTGGGAGCTGAGAAGTGCCTTTGGCTGCAGGAGAGCCAGGATTTGTCTGAGAAGTTCTAAAACCCCACCAGGAAAACAGAGGGTTTGGGTTTCTTGCCTAAGGCAGTTCCTCTGTGTGGCACCTCAGCTCCTGCCTCTGGCAGCGCCCAGCTTTGCTCCCCACAGCCCCTCTGGATGTTCCTGAGTGTCTTCCCATGTCCCCCAGGCACTGGGGAGAGGTGGAAGGCAGCCTTGACTCCCAGTGCAGTAATCCCTCTCTCCATCCCCCTGTCTCTCAACAGACTATGCAATTTCCAAACCTGGGGTTTTGTCTCAGATCGAGCAAGGAGAGGAATCGCGGGGCAGGAACGAGCAGGACTTGGAGGAGAGTGAGATCATCACTGATGCCACAGCAGGTGAGACCTTGGCACAAGGTCTGTTTGTGTCCCAAGGAGCTGCTCATCCCTGGGCTAAAGCAGGTGTTGCTGGGAGCTGGGGGGGTTTATCAGGAGGAGCCTTGCCTAGGAACGGGATAAGTTTGGGCGATCAGAGGTTTGATGTCCAGGTACAACTCAGCATATAAACCAGGGCAGGAGAAGCCCAGAGAGCTGGGCACTGGGAGCCATCAGCAAGGGAAGCATCTGCAACCAGCCCAGGTCCTCAGGGAGCCAGTGTGCCTGGCAAGGAAGGAGAATTGGGTCCCACTGGGAAAGCCCATCCACCCAGAAAATCCTCTCCACCCTCTCTTTGTGTGGATGGTGCCTGGGTTTATCCTTGGAACGCCCTCCCAGGCAGGGAAATCTGCTCCCATCCTGTGTGCAGGGAGAAGGGGTGCTGAGGGGTTGCTCCAAGGGCAGGGCTGGGCTGGGAGAAGGGCGCCAGGGATCCCGAGTCCCGGAGCAACTCCTGCTCTGGGATAAGGGGGCTGATAAATAGGTGTCCTAGAAGAGGTCAGCTCCACTGGCCATCCCTGGTGCCAGGCTGTGGGGTCACTCTGCCCCCCTGCCTGTGCTCTTCACCACAAGGATCTTGAGATTAAATTGAGGCCATTGGGAAGAGGAAAATCGTCGGGATCTGCAGCCGGGGGATGTGGGGAGGCCAAGGGGTGCTGAGCTGTGGCACCGAGTCCCAGGCTGGGCAGAGACAGTGCCCTGTGCCTGCGGAGGATCCCAGGGGAGAGGCAGGAGCGTGACAGGGATGGGAGAAGGGCAGGGGCTGGGAGGGAGAGCAGAAAAGGCCGAGCAGGTGAAACCCTTCTGCGGGATCAGCGGCAGGGATGGCTGTGAGCAGCATCTCCATCCCGGCTCCTGGGAATGACGGCGGGCGGGAATCTCTCTTTGCTGCAGCTGGAATAAGGGTGGTGATCAAAACGGAGGAGCTCCTTCCCGAGGACAGCCCTGAGAACCCCGAGCTGCACGGGATGTCGGGGCAGTCGGAGGGGAGCTTCCAGAGCCCGGACGAGGAGGCGGCTTGTGAGAGCCCCTACGGCTCCGTGTCCCCTCCCAGGGACCTCCCGGGAACCAGCCTGGGGGACTCGTCCGAGTACGGAGCCGACTTCAACGAGATCCAGAGGGTCATCGTTCACCACGGGAGCTGCACAGGTGGGACCTCGGGACACGGCTCCGGGGCTGGGGAGGTCAGGACAAGGTGGGGAACGGGTTGGATCGATGGGCAGGGTTAAATCCCCCCAGAACCAGCACCAGCAGGAAAGTTTCTGGCTGCAGCAGCCTCGGGAGCAGCTCTGGTCAGAGGTGAGGGGTCCTGCTGGTTGACCAGTGTGGGGGTCACTTGGGGCAGGTCCACAGGACAGGGAGGAGCATGGCACGACCCCCGTGGCATCCAAGCTGCCAGGAGGAAGGGTGAGGTTGTTTGGTGAAGAGACAATGGCACCAGGCCTTTCATGGGTGGAATCCTGCCAGTCGGGTGGCACACGTGGGCCAGGTCCTACAGACCTGCGGGAGAGCAGGGAGATGGGAGGTTGGGAACAGCGGGTCCCCTCCTCCTGACAGCTCTGTGGTGGTGTAACAGAAACCAAGAGGGAGGCAGTTGGGCTCCTGAGGGCCTCGTGGATCCTGTGGTCTGCTCATGGTTTAGGAAGGGAAAGCGGCCAAGCCACCAGTGGGGCTGGAGATGGTCCTTGTCCAAGGTGTGGGGCCTGGCTGGTGGGGCTGAGTGGGAGCTGTGGTGGCACTGACGGGGATGGGGGTGCTGAGCCCCCGGGTCTGCAGAGGAGGCAGGGAGGAGGAGGACCTGGAATTCCCCAGGACCCCTCTGCTGGAGGGAAGAGAGCCCCAGCTTTGACACATCTGGGCTGCCTCTTGGGAAAGCATGGCTGCTCTTCCTGGAAGAGCACATAGGTCTGGCTCAGAGTGCAGCACAGGGTGACATGAGGGATCCACTGTGGATTTCCTCCGTGTCCCTGGGATGTGCAGTGACAT